TCGGAGACGAGCCTGAACCACAAGAGCCCTGTCTTATCTCTCTATGCTCGATTACACCTGACGAGGGCTAGTCTCTTGACAGTGATGAACATGGTCCTTATGTTGAGTTATGTTTCACACCAGAAATGTCAATGGTAGTGTTGGACCAGACCCAACTTGCACAGCTTGAAACTGACATGGTCGCAACGATGAGAGTATATGTATCATCAGCTGCTAAACGCGCGGTGGTAGTTAAGGAAGACGACCTACTCACCAAAGCCGATATAGCAGCACACCCTAAAGAGGTTAGTGAAGCTTTGTGCACCGAACTCAAGATCTGGCTTGATAACCGATGCTTCGAGATGTATGGCCTATCTAAAGCTTCCAACATCATGACATCCAGATATGTATGCAAGTGGAAGTTTGTGACGGTAGGCACCGAGAATGTTAAAACCATCCGTCTCAGACTTGTCCTTCGCGGATTCATGGACACGGAGGCGTTTGATGTAGAAACCTTCTCAGGAACTGCTCGAGGACAGCCCCAGAGGCTCCTGGCAAGTGAGGCGGCATGCCATCCAGAATGGATCTTAGCATCTATGGATATCGACAAAGCGTTCCTCAAAGGTGTGACCTATGAGGAACTTGCTCATGCCACCGGCGAGGAAACTCGCATGGTTTGCTTCGCTCTTCCACCAGGAAGCGCACAGGTGCTTCGTACACTACCAGGCTTCTCTGCTTACGATGAGCGTTCTCCCTCAAGCTTCGTGCGACCGCGCGAGCTATAGGCCTCGCACCGACAAGTTACGATCCGGAGTTTGAATTCAGTCAAGATCTGTTAACGGCAAAACATGTCGACGATATCAACATGACAGGCCTAGTGAAAAACGTAGATGACTATGTACAACGTGTCGAAAAGGTGTTTGGTACCTGCAAGCTCAACAAACATTCTTACACGAACTGCGCTGTTCGCTACACCAAGAATGAACAAGAGGATGTGATCATGGATCAGGGCGAGTACATTAAACAACTACGTCCTATCACACACCCTGAACTTACGGGAGCGGCGGCTGACGCCAAAGCTACCAAACTCATCGCCGACATGTTCGTTAGCCTGCGAGGAGCTCTCGCCTATGCCCTTCTCACTCAAGTCTGGCTTATGTTGTATGTGGTCTCTCTCCAGAAGATCCAAGAGCCCACCAACTTACAAGTCAGACGACTGAATGCTGTGACGCGAAGGCTGATCAGCAGCCCGAAACGTATCACCTTCCCGCGGATGAAACCGACGAACGAAGTAGACATACACAGTGATTCGGGGTATCGGGAGCTCACCGGGGAGGAAGATGATGAGACCAAGGGCTACGGCATCCGTGGGGCTAACGTATTGCGGCGAGGAATTTCGCCTCAGGGCAAATCCGTCATCCACTTTTGCGGCGGACTATGCAAATCGCACCGATTGCAGCTATGCCGCTGAGGCACTTGCAGCTGCACGCAACCTTGATGAATGCTACCCCACGGTCATCACTCTCCACGAGCTCAAGGCAGGGGCACTTACTCCACGACAACTACGTAATATGCGTGAAGTTGGAGGCCTAGCCACTAAAGTATCCCTTACTATAGACGCTGAGTCTGTATACAAATCGCTATCCAGCAAAGATCTTAAGATGCCGACGGAACGGACTTTGCTGGGGCATATCAGCTGGATACGTGAGCACATGGATATAGGTATAGTGCACAACGTACAATGGTGTGATACTAGAGACATGACCGCAGATGGGCATACAAAAGGGGGGTATCGATCGGGAGCTGCTTTGGAGGTGCTGTCAGGCACTCAGTCATTTAAGTATGACGTGAAGCAATTTGTTCCCTTTCGGGGTCCTGAGGACAGAAACAAGCCTAAGTCAAATCAGTTTTAGTCTGTCCTTGTTGCCCCCGCGGTCCAGTCTGCCAGCGCGGGCGCCTAATACAGAGGCGCCCTCCTAGTTGCTCGGAAACGAGCCTTATTTTTCACGCTTGGCAACGAGCCTGTTCAGATTGATTCAGGCTCTTGCTTTAATGTCCTTTTGCTCGGGGAGGTATAGCCTGTTTGGCTTACCTCTCGCCGGGCCGATATCCCTTTGATGTCCAAGGGGCTATTTTGCGTATGCGTGAAAATGCTTTGCGAGGGAACTCGCCTTACAGTCTGGTGATAGGCCAGACTGTATTTACTGTTTTTCTTGCAAACAGTCGTGCGCGCGGCCTTTGTGGAGCCTAACGGCTGCGCGGCTATACTCACCGTCTCCTCCCCTCCCGACTTTAAGGGTGGCTCTTTGGGAGATGTTATATAGGATCGGGAGTATAGCTCGCGCGCCGTTGCCTTTGGCTCAAGGCACGCGCGCCCTATTTGCCCGGACACTGCTGGTGTTCGCTATGTGCTGGAAAGATCATTACATCGATCTTATCCGATCTTATCCGTCCACTCCCCATACTGAACTACCTCAGCATGGCATTGGACGCTATCTGCCGTCCGCTTCCCATGGAATCGGATGCTATTTGACTTACCGTGGTCACTTCAGACTACTTTGACGCGTCTTGGGAAACTCTTTGGGTGTATTCTGGGCCCCTTGGGACCTCTGGGAGGCCTCCTTCAGGCTATCTCCGCGCGGGAGGGGGTGCTCGATGTCGCCCCCCGTTGGCTCGCGGGCCGAGGGCGACACAGCGGGAATCTCAGCGGAGTCAGTTTGCGCTTCAGGAAGGAGGAGAAACAGGAGTGGAAGAAAACGACGGCGGCTGGGCGCAGGGGGAAACCTTTGCGTCCGGGCCGGGGGTGGGAACCCGGGAACCCATCCTCGGCCGAAACGGCGGCTGGGCGCAGGGGTGACCCCTTGCGTCCGGGCCGGGAGTGGTAACCCATCCTCGGCCGAATCGGAGGCAGGGGGGAACTCTTGCCTCCGGGCTGGCGGTGATAACCCATCGTCAGCCGAATCGGGCGCAGGGGTAACCCCTTGCGTCCGGGGTGGCGGTGGTAACCCATCGTCAACCGAATCGTACGCAGGGGGAAACCTTTGCGTCTGGGTTGGCGGTGGTGACCCATCGTTAGCCGAGTGGGGCGCAGGGGGGAACCCTTGCGTCCAGGGTGGCGGTGGTAACCCATCGTGAACCGAATCGGGCGCAGGGGTAACCCGTTGCGTCCGGGCCAGGGGTGGTCACCCACCCTCGGCCGAATCGTTTTTTCGTGAATTGTCCATATACTCTGGGCGTTCGTTAGTGGGGGCAAGTGACGCCAATTTTTTTTTGAGTTCCAGGGGATCGGGAGAGCTCCAGGATGGAAAAAGCTCGAGTCGTTGATATCTAGTACAAATCAATATCGGTTTCCACCCTTTGGGACGCAGGTTGGAGTAATTGGAGGAGTTTTCACACGTGGTGTTTTGGGTAAATAAGGGGGAACTCACGCATGTGTGCTTTGAATTCCCAGGGAACGCGGAAACGGACGGAACGAAAATCGCGTGGCAGAGCAAAACGAGGCAGACAACATACGTATTTGCGCATGGTTTCAGGGGACCACGCGTGCAAAACGAAAACCAACGAGGGGGATGAAGGGGGGGAGCGCCGACAACGTCGACGCAGGAACCTCCAGACATTGAAGCGAATAGCTTCAGATGGAATTGGTGTATATCAATGAGTAAGAAGCCGGCCAAAACGCAACATGTATAACAATTGATAGTACTTTCTGGATTTCTTTGTGTTTCTGATGTTTGTCGTTCAGTCTGGTGGGGGTCATCTCTGAGATGACATGACAGGTGATCCCCATCGTCGCGCAAACTATAGCAAGTAGTATCAAACCGTCGAAAACAGGAAACTCAGAAAACATATTATTTTTGTAGATTCGCAGGTTTTGTCTGTTGTTTCTTGTCCATTCTGGCTTGGGCTCGCTCTGAGATGACAGCTGATCTTCGCCGTTGCATGAACTATAGGGATTCGTAGTACGCTGGCCAAGACGCAAAATCTGGAAAGTCGTATTATATTCTGGATTCAGATGTTTTTCTGTTCTTTCTGGTCAATTCTGGCCCGAGCCCGCTCTGAGATGACAGCTGATCCTCGCCGTCGCACAAATATAGCGATTCGTAGTACATGGCGAAGACACAAAAAATTCGAAAAGCAGTATTACTTTCTGGATTCAAGTGTTTGTCTGTTGTTTTTGTGTGGTTCTGGCCGGAACCCGCTTTGAGAAAACAGTTGATCTTCGTCATCAGCAGCATCATTATCACCACCAGCCTCGGCATCACCATCACCATCACTACCATTACCATCATCACAATCATCATCATCATCACCACCACCACCACCACCACCACCACCACCACCACCACCACCATCATCATCATCATCATCATCATCATCATCATCATCATCATCATCATCATCGTCGTCGTCGTCGTCGTCGTCGTCGTCGTCGTCGTCGTCGTCGTCGTCGTCGTCGTCACCACCATCATCGTCGTCACCGTCGTCATCATCATCATCATCACCATCGTCGTCGTCGTCGTCGTCATCGTCACCATCTCCGCGCACCTCTCACAAGTTTCGTGGTCTTGCAGGGAGATCCACTGGAGGCCCCAGTGTCAGGGTCCACATGCAGTTCTACCTCCAATTTCGGCGTAACCCTCACACGCACACGTTTCGTGGCCATTTAGGGAGCATTACCGAAGACCCCAGTGGCAGGGTCCGCATGCGGTCCCCGCCCCCCGATCCGGCGCACCCCTCATAAGTTTCGTGGTCCCGAAGTGAGCTCCACGGAATGCCCCAGTGGCACGGTTTGCATGCGGCTTCAATCCCTAATTCGGCGCACCCCTTCACACGTTTCGTGGCCCCATGGAGACCTCGATCGCCTCGTGCGCCGCTAACTCCAAGAGGAGCAATCTGGACTGATGGGCCTGTTTTCCACCACCACAACAAGTTGGAGGGGGGAAGGAGGAGGATGAGGAGGAGGAGGAGGAGGAGCAGTCGGTTTTGGACAATAATTGTTGTTGGGCATTTGTTGTCGGCCTGATTCTTCCGCTCCTTCCTCCGCGTCTCCTCCTCTTCCTCCTCCTCCTCCTCCGGTCTCCTGCCTTCTCATGGGTCGGGCGGGAGGTGGTTGGCACATTCGCGCTGCGCGACATGGGACGCCGCACGCGCTGCTCCGTCTGCACCATAGCGCTGCGCAGGGCGGTGCCATCGGGAGCCGCGAGGAGCAAGGAGGATCCCTGTCCAGCTGTACTCTGAGAGGATCCCTTCGACAGTTCGGGCAGCGTTGCGTTCGGTCCGCATGTACTCTCCGCCTAAGGCGGGATATCGAGTCGACACGTGTCAGCTGGCACGCTCGTCTCCTCCCCCCCTCCCTCCCTCATCCCCTTCTCCTTCCTCCTTCTCTCCCCTCCTTTTCCTTCCCTTGCTCCTGCTTCTTCGTCCGTTCCGTGCTGTTTCTTCTGTTGTTTCTGCTACCAGCGCTGATCCTCTTCCCTTTCCTTGTCCTTTCTGATCGGAGCCCGCCAGTTTCCTGGCTGGGCCTCCTCTCACACTGTAGTGGTGCAAGCGACCGACAGGGCAGCAGCAGCGAACCGGAATGCCCGGCGAGAAGCCTGACTGTCGAGTTCGCCTGTTTTTTATCGTTTCCTCACACTGTAGTGGTGCAAGCGACCGACAGGGCAGCAGCATCGAACCCGAATGCCCGGCGAGAAGCCTGACTGTCGAGTTCGCCTGTTTTTTTTTTTTTTTTTTTTTTTTTTTTTTTTTTTTTTTTTTTTTTTTTTTTTTTTTTTTTTTTTTTTTTTTTTTTTTATCGTGGCACATCGACACGCCTGAACTAGGCACGCATTGTGAGTTCCTTATTGTGCCTGGCCGTAGATGCCATGCTCTCAACTCGCCGTAAGCGAAGCACTCCAGCTACTCGCTCGCCGATGCCATATAGCCCACCATTCCCGCCTCTTCCACCTGCTTCCCCTCCTCCTCCTCCGGTCTCCTCCTCCTCCTCCTCCTCCTCCTCCTCCTCCTCCTCCTCCTCCCCCTCGGTTTTGGACAACATATGCTGTTGGGCATTGTGCCAATTCTTTCCGTTCCCCTTTCTGGCGTCCGAGTCCTCGCGCCCAGACACGGGCGCTCCGGGCCGGCGGCCCCGCCGGAACCTCTGCTGCCGGCGAGCGGCGGGCCCCGAGCGGTTGGAGACCGGCTGCCGCCGCAGCGTTTTTCCCAACCCTCCTATGGTTGGGTACTCGTTTTGAATAGAGCAGTGTGGTCGCCCCGGTCTCCTCCTCCTCCCCTCCTCTCCTGTTTCCTGTCTTCCCCTCTCCTCTTCTCTCGTGCCGTCGGGCTGCGATCTGCGCAACTGACGCTACTTTCGTGGGCTCCTGGGAGGCCCAGCGGAGGTGGGTCCCACGCGGATCACCTCGAGACCTCGCGGTGCCCTGGGGGCTGCGATCTGCGCAACTGTCGCCATTTTCGTGGGCTCCTGGGAGGCCCAGCGGAGGTGGGTCCCATGCGGATCACCTCGAGACCTCGCGGTGCCTTGGGGGCTGCGATCTGCGCAACTGTCGCCACTTTCGTGGGCTCCTGGGAGGCCCAGCGGAGGTGGGTCCCACGCGGATCACCTCGAGACCTCGCGGTGCCCTGGGGGTGTGGAAATATGACCAGTTTGAGCTTAATCATCTCTTATGTTGCATGCATGCTTACTTGTTACACATTCGTGTGTGCGCACGTGTGTGCACATCTGCTGCTGTTTTGGCTCAAGGCGCCTTTCGACACCATGTCTCTCGCGAGAGAAAAGACATCCCTCGTTTTCGCCACTGACCGTCCTTGACGCGTCAGTGGTAGCGGAGCGGCACGGCTCTCCCCGGCCGTCTCCAGTTGCCGCCGCCATGCCGGCGGATCCTCTCAGTGGCGAGCGAGATAAGGATGTCCCTCCAGCAGGCAGCGGAGAGAAAGACCAAGAGGACCACAGTGGTGCGCCCCAGGGCGCGACAGGCAGCAACAGTTTCACAGAAGCGCAGGCGCTCGAGCTGAGAAGCATCCTGCGTGAGGAGATAGAGGCAGTGATCACCGCCTCGAGCTCCCCGGGCCAAGCGTCGGAAGGTGCGGCTCCTCAGGCCCGTGAAGGAGCATCTGGGTCCGATCCGTGGGAGGACCTAGGCAGCGACCCGTGGCAGGACGGTCGCAAGCGAGGCACCGGCGAGAATGAGAATGTGCAGTGGGGTGGCAGAGGCTGGTGGTCAGCCTCAGCCGATGCACAGTGGGTTTCGCGGGCCGGTGCGGACTTGAGCCAGGCCAACTGGTCGGGCAATGGTGGCGGGACCGCCGACGCCCAGAAGTGGAGCGCCGTGAACTGGCGCAGCAGCAGCGGTGGCCACGAGGACAGCACGGCGTGGCCCTCGTCCTCGTGGTGGGAGAAGCCCGATCTTGGAGATCCAGATCCCTGGTTGGGTTGGAGCGAGTATCGCCTCTGGCGCCGAGGAGTCCGGCGCTGGCTGGCGGGCACAGGAGTTGCAGTCAGCCGCCGAGCAGACAGGATCCTGAAAGTGCTAGACATAGAGCTGAGAAAGAAGTTCGAGGACATATCGGACACCACCCTGGTCTCCGAGGCAGGACCGCAGGCGATCCTAGATCGCCTGGATGTGCTCAGCGGCCAGCGCCAGGACGACGAGATGAGACGTGTGGGCCGTGAGTGCTTGTTCGGGTTCCAGCGCCGCCAGGGGGAGACATTGAGCATCTACGCGGCGAGGATGGACCAGGTCTTTGACCGCCTCTCGTCGCAGGGCCTGGACCTGAACTCCAAGTGGCCGCACCTGTTTCTCGAAGAAGGGGTCGGAGTCGACGACTCGCAGAAGCAGATGCTCAAGGTCCTCAGCAAGAACACGGGAGAGTACCAGGACCTCCTGAAGGCAATCCGGGAGATGGACATGCAGCGTAACGAGAGCTTGACGCACGGCAAGAAGACCTTTGCGGAGTTCGAGCAGAGCTCCCAGTCGACGTTCTACGACGAAGACGACGGCAGCAGCAGCATCTCCTCCCTGGACTCAGAGCAGGAGCAGACGGTGCTAGTGACGATCGATCAGGCCGACATCTCAGAGCTAGAGGTTCCGACCATTTTTGGCAGAGCTGGCATCTGAGAGACGCAAGTCGTGAACAAAGACTACAAGAGGCGGATGAAAGTGGGCAGGAAGTATTTTCCCACGACGCCCCCGGCACTGGGAGGTGCTCGACCCCCTCGCCACCGTGGTCAGGACGGTCAGAGACGTCCTCGGAAGGAGAAGCTTTCGCCTCAACAGTTGATGAAAGTAACGAAATGCCACAAGTGTCATCAGAAAGGTCACTGGGTGAGGGAATGTACGAATCCATCAGCGGCAGGTTCAGGCATGGCAGCGCCGCCGATACCAGCGACAGCTTCGAAGGCAGGCTTCTTCGTGCTGACGAACGACGGCACCGCCTCGTCTGGTCTAGCGCTGATGACGGCGCCCGGGCAGGATCCGCTGAGAGCGCTGATCGAGAAGGCGCGGTCGTCAGTCGTTCTCGCCTCTTCGACTCCTGAGCCATCCCCGCTCGTTTTTCTGACCGCCCCCGGGGGGGAGATGATCATAGATACCGCAGCCGGTCAGGGCCTCATAGGCCCGGCGTCCCTTTCGAAGCTAGACGAACGGCTTGCATCCCTCGGTTTTCGGATTCCCAGGGTGCCCAGTGCCAGCCGGCGCGCCCAGGGAGTCGGTGGTCGCGCTAATGTTTCGACCGGCCTTCTCGTCCCGACGGGGATAGAGGGCCGCCGCGGTGCGATGCAGCTCGATTTGATCAGCGAGGAGGTTCCAGCCTTGATGCCAATCGGCATGCAGGAGGCTCTTGGAGCCATCATAGATCTTCCTGAAGATAAGGTTACGTTTAAGAGTTTGGACACAACGACGCCTTTGAAGTCGCTTTCGTCCGGGCATCGGACGATCAGGATCGACAAGCTCGGCGCGCCCGACGATTTTCATTTTCCAGAGTCGGTGTCGAGCAAGTTTGGTGTTTCGAAGCAGGACTTCGTGCGGCAGCCTGGGCCGCAGTGCAAGATGTCGGCGTGCCATGGCGCCGACGTCGGTCCGACAGCGATGAGCGGCCAGTCGAGGGAGCTAGGCGAGGGTAGATCGAGGGCCCAGGGTCCGAGCCGAGGGTCCGGGGACCAAGCTCGCGACCGACGCGAATCCACTCGACACGATGCTGCCGACGTTCCAGACAGTCCAGAGTATTCCGCATCAGTTCCAGCTCATGTTCCAGATTATCTAGCATCAGTATCACATGAAACCGTACATGTTCCAGATTATCCAGCATCAGTATCTTACGAAACAACAGGTCAAGGAGGTACTCAACGAAACGCCTGGGGGCTCGAGGCCGGACGCAGCTCGAAAAAACACGCTAGGACGTTCAAGCGCGTCAAACGTTCGGGAAAACCACTGTGCCTCCAAGGCGTTCCGGTCCGTTTCGTTTTGCTCAAGCCTCCATGCCGGTTCGATGTGTGATCCCTTTCAGAGTTCTCCACGGAGTTTCCTGGAAGATACCGCGCCCGGCCGGCATGAGAGACCGGCGCTATGCGCTGACTGGCCGGGACGTACCGGAGGAGATGCAGCTGAAGCACCTCCGCTGGGTTCACATCGTCTCGCAGGGCCTCGGGGTGGAGGAGGCACTCGGCCTGTCGATCCTCGACCTGAGTCGCACGGGCCGCCTCTGCCCGGTGGCCTTCACTCGCAGACAGCGCCACCTCACAGTCGGGATGCTGCAATGCCGCCGCGATCCGCTGAGGCGCCGTGTCGGGGCCAACGCCAGCGCGACCTGGATCAAGTGCATCGACTGCGACGTGAGGCTGGCCTACTGGAGCCGCCCGAGGATCGAGGTGCAGCCGCAGCTCCTGACGATCAAGGGCGACCCGGACTACAGCACGGAGCCGGGGTCGGGATTGTCGGGCGGTCCCGCAGCGCCGAACATTCGGCGGTACAACAAGGGCCAGGACGACGAGAAGGAGCTCTTGAGCAAACTCGTCAAGCTCGACCACTCCAAGAGTCCGGCGGTAGTGAAAGGGCAGATGCGCTCGGGTGCCGCGACGAGACCTTCCTATGTGCCGATGCAGGTGGACGAGCTGGCCCAGGCAGAGCGGAAGAGCCGCCCCAGGACGTCCGAGAACAGCCTCGCGAAGGACATGAAGGAGCTGAAGGACGCGATTCAGCGGCAGAACGAGTCCCTCCAGCAGCACGGCCAGGCACTGCAGTTCCTCCTGCAGCCGCGCATGGTTCAGCTCCAGCAGCAGCATGCGGCGGCGATCGCGACGGCGGTCCTGGGCACCCCGCGCCAGACCGAAAAGTGGGAGGTGATCGGCCAGCCACCACCTCAGTCCCCAGCAGCGGCAGCGGCAGCTTCACCAAGCCTCGCGTAGAATCAGGGACGAGTTGTGGTATGGGCCGATTCGTGAGTGAGGTCGGCTGCGAATCCCTTTCTCTCCAGCGCATCGTTTCGCAGCTGGAGGCACCGGCGTCCGAGCTATTCTATTTCCGGAGGTGCACAGAGGAGGAGTGGAAGAAGCATCGGGAAAAGGGACGCAGATGGGTTCTTTTCGATAAGCAACACGACCGGATGCAGGTGCTTTTCAGCTCGGAGGATTCTCCGAGTTCTTTTCCCGTTGAGAGCGAGTGCCATCTAGCTGTCCGTCATGACGGCTGGGCCTCCGCCATCCGGGATGCCGAGTTTAACGGCGACTACGAGACGACGATACCGAGACGTCAGAGGCGAGAACTGGAGAAAACGGTGTGGGCTCTTCTTGCGGCCAAGTCAGGAAAGAGTGGCGATGAACAGCATGAGCGTCCTGGACAGCAAACGCCACCAGGGGATGAAGTTCAGGGAATCTCCACCCGTGCTCGCTGTCCCGGGTCGAGCGCTTGTCCGCCCTCTACGTCCTCTTCCCCGCCCCAGGACTCGTACTCTCTCCTTTCCCCCCTCCTCTCTCGTCGGGAAGTGGATCGTCGCAGGAAGGGGGTCTGTCTCGGGGCATGATGGAGGTTTTCTCGCCACCCCGGATATGGTCAGCGGCTCGCCAGTTGGGGGTTGCGGATCAGGGAAGCTTGGATCTGTCCACGGGCTGGGATTTTCGGCGCCCCGAGGACCGACGTCTGGCGAGGGACCTTATCCGGTCCAGGACGCCCGGGGTCCTTTTCTTGGAGCCTCCCCGCAGGGTTTTCAGCGTGGCC